TTCTTTTTCTTCATTGGTTGCTGGCAGTTTTTTCTTTAACTCTCATTCGTATTGAAGATGGACACATGGAAGCTGTTGGCATAGGCAGAGTCGATTCAGTATTTAAACTCTATATGTTTAGCTTTTAAGGTTCTTACTGTTGAACCCATTGTGTTTCTAAAACGATGGATTCATATTTACTATTTGTTACATTTTTAATAGATTTTTACATATAAATTCATGTTTCGCGTCGAAAGTTATGGGTTCAGGTGAACACAGTGTTTGCACATACTTTTATCACTTAGTAATTTTTTAACTCTTAAGGTCAAACGACGCTGGTAAGTATTACCCTTTTAGGCAATGAACATGAAAACTTAAGTCATAGTGAAGATGACGAAGACTTATTGTAAGCAAAGACTAGCCATAAAATAGATGAGTTAATAAAAGAAAGATGACAAAAAATAGAAAAAAATGTGGACTAAATTAATGGACAACAACTTGAATGTCTGCAGTATATATTTTTGTCGCAAGTTTGAATGCAACAAATTGGAACAAACCATATAGGAAATAGACAGATCAAGAGCCTTAATCATTTGAAGACTGGACAATATTCTTATATTTTTTAAAGACAAATAGGAATAACTATATTTTGACATATGGGCTATTAGTATTAAAAAGGTAACATATGTGACCTACATAATTAACCATTAGTGGCTCCACCCTTTAATTTGTCTATATGATAGATATCCTTTAAGACCTTGGCCAGCTCCAGCTAAGCTTCCTCTCGAACGTTAAAACATTTAAGAGAATATTGTGAAGACACATAGCTGTTGCGTCTGAACTCATTAGGTCGAAGACACGTCTGTCAAGACGTCACATACCGCGTAAAAGAAGAAAGACGGGTCTTACAGTTTTGTGGACCCAGATTTCTGTGGACCTAGAAGTATAAGATTGGGGTCCATAAATTTATGAGACAAAAAAAAACCTCATATAACTAGTGAAGTTATATAAAACACAAAATAAAACTTCTCAATAAAGACATATACACGTTGTTTAGACAGTTCGACTACTCCAAAACTCATATACTTGCATATTATATGGGAATGGGACCAAGCTTACTTCTCTCACATTAAAAAAAAATTTAATTTGCATGTTTTTTATTTTCTTTTTTCATGGAGAGGCATTTAGAGAGAGTAATAAGAAGACACGTAGTTATTGCGTCTGAACTCAACACGTTTGTCTGGATGTCACACACTGTGTAAAAGAAGAAAGACACGTATATAGCAATTGCTTCGACTACTCCGAAACTCACATACTTGCATCATATGGGAAAGGGGCCAAACTTACTTTTCTCACACTAAAGAAATTAATTTGCATGTTTTATTATTTTCTTTTATTCATGGAGAGAAGTTTACAAAATAATATGAATACACATAATTGTTGCGCCTCATTGGATCGAAGACACGTCTGTATGGACAGGGGAGGATTCACCTTGGCCCAGTAACACTGCTTGATTGGAAAATTTTATTAAATATATATATAATTAAAATACTAAAGAAATATAACATTAAAATTTAATAAAGTGACATGCGAAATTTAATACACGTCTGTTGTTATATTTTTGGAGCTTCATCTACAAATGAATTTGGGGCCAGGTGTTTTATATATATATAAAGTATTTAATATTATTTTTAATGAGGTTGCTTTGAATATATTTTAGAAAATAAAAATTTATATGTAGTAATATTCTTGAGTTGTGTTTTATTAATATAATTCTAACTATATTTTTTAATAATATGTTGTTATAATAAATTATTATTTGCTTACTGTTTAAAATTGTGACACCGCTTATGAAATTTTTTGCATATGCCACTGTGTATGGATGTCACATACCGCGTAAAAGAAAAAATACACATAGCATTTGCTTCGACTACTCCAAAACTCACATTCTTGCATTATATGGGAATGGTACCAAACTTACTTCTCTCACAAAAAATACTCCAATAATTATTACTCTATTAGATAATTTTCGTGGAGAGAATTTTAGATAATAATATGAAGACACATAGCTGGTTCGTCTGAACTCATTAGGTCGAGGACATGTTTATATGAACGTCACACACCGTGTAAAAGAAGAAAGACACATACCAATTGCTAGGGGTGTATATGGACCGGGTTGATTCGGTTTTTATCAAAATCAGATCAAATCAATTATATCGGTTTGGATTGGTTCGGTTTTGTCGAGTTTTTCGGATTTTTTTGTTACATGAATATTATTTCAATCTTACTTTGTTAAATTTATAGATAAAGCTTTGATAAGTGAATATATGTTTAGTAAATATGGAAAAAATTGACAAACATATGATCTATTAAAATATTTTAATGAGAGAATTTTTTTAGTAATACTTGATAGTTATTTTCTTAGTCGTCTAACAATAATTTTTCGTTAATTCACGCTTTCAAGGTTAATACATGAGAGGATCCCAAATATTTTTACATTTTCTAAAGAAAAATCACTATAAAGTCTTAAAATATAAATAAAATTTATATATTTACATGTTGGTTTGGTTCGGATTTTTTTACTCAATACCAAACCAAGTCAAACCAAACCTAGTCGAGTTTTTTAATCGATTTGGTTTGGTTTTTCGATTTAATAAGATTTTCGGGTTCGGTTTAAAATCACCTGCCAATTGCTTTAACTACTCCAAAACTCACATACTTGCATTGTTGGGAATGAGACCAAACTTACTTCTCTAGCACATTTTTAAAAAAAAAAACCATTTGCATGCTTTATTATTTCCTTTTTTTCATGGAGAAAAGTTATTTTCTACAATCTTAAAATTCATAATCATATAGAACTACTAAGAGGTAGGTACAATGAAATAAAAAATTAAACTTGTATAGGCGATATCAATTTTTTTGGGAATTAAGATTTAGTCATTTTAGTATATTTACTTTAGGTGTTACAGTTCTATTTCTTTGGAGTTCTTTAGTCTTGTTATAGATTTATATGTCAGTATAAAGTTGAGAACCTTAAGTCCTACAAAAACTAATTAATTTTAACAATAATATATTGTAAAAATAATTTTACATATATATATATATATATGAAAAATTGAAGGTAATAATTGTCAACGACTAACAGTTTGAAAGATATAAGCTGAAAATCACCACTACATTAAATTTTTATGTTTCATATTTAATTGGGGATTGCATACAGTAGTTCTTAGTAAAAGAGAGAGTTGATGCAAAAGAGCTTGAGTATTTTATTGATAGCATTCTTCTTTTTATACACAGAGAGGAGAGTGAGATCCCATGAAAATAGACCAATACAAAAGGAAAAGTATACAAAGTGAATCAAAATGAATATTCTTGTGTCTGAGAATATCAAAACAAATATTCTTGTGATTGAGAATATCACAATCAATCTTCAATCCTTATTATGCCCCCGCAAGTTTGGAGTTGGTGAAGCTACTCCTAACTTGATCAGATTGCGCCAAAAACGTGCTTTTGCCAGAGGCTTGGTAACCAAATCCGCCAGTTGATCTGCCGAGTGAACATGGATTACTTGAATCTTCTGTTGTTGAACTTGATCGCGAACAAAGTGAAAATCAATGGCTATGTGCTTCATTCGACTATGAAAAACTGGATTTTGGCATAAGTAAGTAGTGCCCACATTATCACAGTAAACTGTTGGTGTGCGAGATAGAGCAATATGAAGTTCAGAAAGGAGATTCATTATCCAATTTGTCTCTGCGACAGCTCCAACAACAACACGATATTCTGCCTCAGTGGAAGATCTGGCTATAGTCCTTTGCTTTTTGGACGACCAACCGATGGGATTTGAGCCAAAATAAATAACCTAAGCAGAGGTAGAAGACCGATCATTCACATCACCTACCCAATCCGCATCAGAATAAATGTGTAAAGCTTTTTCGGATTGACGACGAAGGAGAAGACCATAGTTGATTGTTTGCTTAAGGTAACGAAGAAGATGTTTGACAGCTTGCCAGTGTATCATTGTAGGCTTGTGCATAAACTGTGAGAGCTTGTTGACGACAAAACTAATATCAGGCCGCGTAAAGTCAAGGTATTGGAGCTTGCCGATGGCACTTCGATATTGTTTGGTGTCAGTGAGTGCAGAACCATCCTCAAGTTGTAGTGGTGTGGAGGTGCTGAGAGGCGTGGAAACTCCATTGCAATCATCCATACCGAAGTCTTTGAGAATCTCACGTATGTACTTTGATTGAGAGAGAAAAAGGTTATCAGCCAGAGGAAGTACTTCGACACCAAGGAAGAAGTTGAGTGGACTCAAACCTTTTAGTGAGAATCGAGCAGCAAGGGCATCCATCAAACTTTGGAGTGCTTGAGTGTTATTCCCTGTTATCACAATATCATTGACATACATAAGAAGAAACAAAGTAATATCCAAGTTTTTATTAATAAAGAGAGAATTATCAGAATGAGCCTTGGTAAAACCTGACTGAACAAAGAAATTTCTTAGCTCGTTGTACCATGCCCGGGGAGCTTGTTTGAGCCCATAAATGGACTTTCGAAGGTGACACACATGATTTGGATAGTCAGGATGCTCGAAGACCTTTGGCTGTTGCATGAAAACTTCTTCATCAAGATGTCCTTGTAAAAAGGCATTATTGACATCAAGATGGTGGAGCGGCCAGCCGTGCATCGTTGCAATGGATAAGACAACTCTAATGGTTGTCAGTGATATGGTGAGACGCTCATGTGTCTAGAATCCATGGTGCTTGGCTTGAGTTTGATCTGGAATCAAATAAAGCTTTTGCTTCAAAGTGGTTATGAGACTTTGAGCGACAAACATAGGCTGCATGAACAAATCGTCCACATAGTTCGCATTGAATAGGCGACTTATGATAGAATGGGGATGAGGGACGCCATTGCTGAAAATATCCATTGTTGTTCACATTTTTGTTGGGATGTAAGTTTGCAGATTGTGGGTTATGTGCACGCTATTGTGACTATCCGTTCCATGGTTGTAGTCCATTTCAGTGCCGATTGCTTTTGGTGTTGTTTGAACTAATGTTTCGTTGTGCTACTTGAGCAGTAATGGAGTTGGTCTGCTTCTTCTTTTGTTCTTCATGTAGTAAGAAGATTTCATAATCTAAAAGTTTCTCAAATAGTTCTTCATAAGAGATGAGAGTATCACGTGTTCGAATAGAAGCACTAAATTGACTGTATTCTGGTCCAAGACCATTCAAAATCTTGATTACTAACTCTTCATGAGCAACAGGTGATCCAGCAACGGCAAGTTCGTCAGCGAGGGATCTTATTTCTCGAAGATATTCTACGACAGATTTATTATCTTTCGAAACCTTAGCAAGAAGATCCCGAAGACTATAGATTCTGGTTTGAGACTTATTTACATATGTGGTGTGCAAATGGTCCCACGCCTCTTTAGCAGTAGATACAGTAGCAACAAAAGGAACAATTGTTGGATCGACCGACGCCATCAACGCATTGCATATCAAACTATCCTGTTGGAACCATACTTTATATTCTGGATTAATAACATGAATATCGCCTTGATTGATGATTTTGGGAGGGCAAACAGCGGAACCATCAAGGTAAGAAACAAGGTCAAATCCACACATCTGTTTGAAAAATTGAGCTTTCCAAGTTGCGAAGTTGTTACTGCGTGTGAGCTTTATTGGCAGTTGTAATGCCGGATTAAAGTTGATGACTTGTGTTCTAGCATTGGGTATATCAAGATAAGTGGTATGTGAATGTGCTTGTAAAACAGATGGGTTGTGTTGGTTGGATTTGGTTGCAGGGGATTCAGATGGAGAGTTAGATGGAGAGCTGCCTGCCATTGTTAAAAAAAAAAGAGGAGAGGAGTGATCAGTTTACTCGTTTGAGTGTGTAATGCTCTGATACCATAAAAGAGAGAGTTGATGCAAAAGAGTTAGATTATTTTATTGATAGCATTCTTCTTTTTATACACAGAGAGGAGAGTGAGATCCTATGAAAATAGACCAATACAAAAGGAAAAATATACAAAGTGAATCAAAGTGAATATTCTTGTGTCTGCGAATATCAAAACAAATATTCTTGTGATTGAGAATATCACAATCAATCTTCAATTTCCTTATTACTTAGAGAGTAAAAACAAGAATTGAGCCGAAAGATGTTACTATAAAGAGAAAGCCGAAAAATACATGGAAAAATAGGGAGATAGACCTTCTAAATATAGATACTCAGATTTGGAAGTGACTCGCCTCTCATATTTGAATCTACATATGGTATCCTCCTAAATTATTCATGTTTTTCATGTGAGCTTTATCTTCTCTCTGCATAATCAGGATTAGGATTGTGGTTTGTTATATAAAATATAAGTAAAGTTGAACCCCAAAAAAAAACAAGGTTAGTTAGGCACGAATATCTAGTCCTTTTAACTTGGATTCAACAGTCTCTTCTCAGATTTAATAGTCCGACAACGTTTTATGACTCGAAAATTTTTTGGACTAGCTAGTTGTTGAGCTCCAAAACTTCACCCGAAAATAACCCCCTTCAATAAAAATACTCCCTTTTTATAGTAATAAATTAAAATATGTGATTTAAACTTCTTCTCTCTTAGGTAAGCTTTTTTTATCTTCTTCTTACACAACTGCAGCTCATTTCTTATGCGCACTACAACACTTGTTCATACACCAAAAAAGGTGTATGAATTATTCCATAAAATAAAGAAGAAGATATATATTGGAGATAATAAAAAGGTAAATAATATGAGATCATGTGCTAGAGTTCCAACATAATATGATGGAAGTTTACACGCAGGAGTTCCATAGTCTAGTATATCATGCTTAAACTTTCCATATTTCAATTAAGGTATTTTTATCCAGATTTTATCTTCGGATAAAATAGTGGCTGTTGTTCAATGACTTTGCAAACACTGGCTATTTTCCGATTATCAGTGCGAAAACTGGCTAGCCCATGCTATTTTCACATATTTGTTCCGCCTCAAATCTTGAACCAAAACTTAAGGTCAGTTTAACGAAATGTATAAGGTATGATTTACAATTAATAGGCAATCCATCAATTATGAATCCAATAGATTTATTACTAGTTAAGTATGGCGACAAACACGAATAGGAAAAATTTTGGCAAGAAATTGTTTTCTTAACTTTGAGCTCGTTTTTGACAAAATACTGAGGATATATCAACAATGGAGTTGAGCTCAGATTGAGCTCTAATGGATGAAGAAGAGAAGCATCCTCACTGAGAAGCTTCGAAAAATAGATGGAGAGGAGAAATGAATTCTTCTTACATCAAAAAATATTTGTATAGTATCCTATACACGTGTATTACACTAACTAATAGCCTAACTGACTTATTACAATGATAGCCTAAGTAATTACAAAATTGGCCTATACAAAGAACCGCCTATGTAAATGTAAAGTAATTAAGATATGGCTAACTGTCAAATAAACTCAACACCCTCCTTAAGTTGGAGGTGGGGAACCCACAACCAACTTGCCAAGTAGAAGAGTATGCTTGTTGCTTGGCAAAGACTTAGTAAAAATGTCTGCAAACTGTTCATGAGTATGGATGTAATGCAGTGAGATCAGTCCATCTTGAAGCTTGTCTCATACAAAATGGCAATCCACTTTTATGTGTTTGGTCCGCTCATGGAAAACAGGATTATTTGCAATGTGAAGTGCAGCTTGGCTATCACAGAAAAGAGGTATAGGTAGAGATAGAGGTACTGTGTGAGTTCCTCAAGTAGTCGTGCAAGCCAGACTAATTCCCCAACCACTTTTCTTACTGCTTTATGCTCAGTTTCTGCTGAGGATAATGAAATAGTAGATTGTTTCTTGGATTTTCAACTAATGGGATTGTCACCAAGTAATACTATATAGCCACTGACTGACTTCCTGGTTTCAAGGCAAGCTGCCCAATCAGAGTCACAAAAGGACCTTACCCTATAGTCTCTACTGTTAGACAAGAAAATCCTCAGAGATAAGCTCCATTTCAAATATCTCAAGACATCTCTTAGGTGAGTATCTCTAGGATTCTGCATATATTGGCTTAAGTGTTGAACACTATAGGCTATATCAGGCCTAGTCCTTGTAAGGAAATTCAATTTCCCAACTAGTTTTCTATAGTGGCCAGGGTCTCAAAAGGGACATTCCATCATCTGCTTTCAACTTTACTGTTGGATCAAGAGGTGAAGTCATAGTTGTACATCCGATACAGTCAAATTCCTTAAGAAGGTCTTGAGTGAATTTTCTCTGTGTAATCAGAACTCTATCACCCTTATAAAGTATCTCCAATCCTAGAAAGTAATGGAGTTTCCCAAAATCTTTTATTCTAAATGTTTTATGGAGAAACCTCTTTAAGCTGGTAATTTCTTCCAAGTGAGCTCCTGTGATAATAACATCATCCACATAGACAGCTACAAAAGTTACTGATTTTCCTTTGCCTTTATAAAACAAGGAGTATCAAACATAGAATGTGTATACCCTCTAGAACAAAAAGCTTCTGTCAGCTTGGCATATCATTGCCTACTAGCTTGTTTCAATCCATACAAGGATTTATTTAACTTGCATACCATTCCAAGTTGTTCTACAAATAGACCTGGTGGTGTCTCCATGTATACTTCTTTATGTAAATCACCATGAAAGAAAGCATTATTCACATCTAATTGAAACATTTCTCATCCCTTCTTAACTACTACCCCAATCAGAGTCCTTAATCTACTCCAGCCTGTTGAGTATAACCCTTCACTATCATTCTAGCTTTGAACCTCTCTATACTCTCGTCTGCCTTGTGTTTTATCTTATACACCCATTTACATTATATGGCCCTCTTTCCAGCTGGAAGTGACACTAAATCCCGGGTGTTATTGGTGCACAATACCTTAAATTGTTGAGTCATTGCTGCTTGCCATGCATGTACAACATCAGCTTCCTCATATGAGGTAGGTTCACAATCTTATGATACATTTTTTTTCAAATGTTGACTATCAGTAGCGAGAGCTCTAAGGTCAATAGGTTGCACTTCAGGAATAAAGGTATTGAAGGATAAATAAGAGGTGTTTTGTTCATCTTGAGGTGAGGTATTCATAGGGTGGTCATTCACATGTTGGTTGGGTTGTGCATACACATAATCCTTCAAGTATGTGGGTGGTTTGTGAGTTCTAGGTGGTCTAGTATTTTCTGGAGGTAAGATTGGAGTATGTTAGCTATAATCAGATGTACTAGCAATACTAAGTGGGCTGTTTTAGTCTTGAAACTGTGAATATGGGATATTATATTCAGTTGTATCCTGGCAGTTTCAGAGTCTTGGTTCCCTGATACAAGTATTGGTGATACCATATTATGACTGTGAGATGATGTAGTGGGAGATGTAATAGAATCACTTGTGCTGGGATTATTGGTGTAGGATTTTCTACATTCAAGTGCATTTGGGGTAATGGAAAAGAAGAACTATGAAGATTAGGAGACAGATCATTAGAACTTGATTTCAAACTAAATGGAAAGATATTTTCATGAAATAATACATTTCTTGAGATGTGTATCCTTTTTGTGACAAGATTTAACACCTTGTAGTCTTTTGTCCCAAAAGAGTATCCCATGAAGACATGTGGAGTTGATTTAGGCTCAAACTTGTCCTTGTGTGTTTTGAGAGTGGTTGGGAAGCAAAGGCAACCAAAACTCCTAAAGTGAATAAAGTGGCTTTTTCTGGTAGAGTAGTTCATATGGCCACTTATTTTTTACAGAGGATGATGACAATATGTTTATTAGGTAAGTAGAGGTAAGTATGCATTCTCCCCATCATTGCAAAGGTAGCTTGGATTGATATAACAATGCTCTAACTGTTTCAAGGAGATATTTGTATTTTCTTTCTACTATCCCATTTTGTTGGGGAGTATAAGGGCAAGTCTTTTGGTGTATGATTCCTTTACTTTGGAAAAATATGGTGCTGACAGCATTGACAAACTCGAGACCATTATCTGTCCTAACTATTTTGATGGTAGTTTGGAATTGATTTTCTCCAATAGCAACAAAGGTTTTGATCATGTGTAAGGCATTGCTCTTGCAAGTGAGAAGATGTGTCCATGTGGACCTACTATAATTATCTACAGAGGTAATAAAATATTTGTAGCTATCATGAGTTGTGATAGAGACCCCAGAGATCCATATGTAACAGTTCAAAAATTTTAAGTGTTTTTGTGGTACTTTGTGGGAAGGGAGATCTACTCTGCCTGGCCATTGGACAGACAGGGCAGAAGAATGGTTGTTTTGTGCAAAGGTAGTTAGGATGGCTGAGATGCCCCTCATTTTGACAAAAGGCACATGGCCCAATCTATTATGCCACCTAATGTCTACATTGCATTTCTTATAAGTAGATGCACTAGGAACAGAAACAGAATTACAAGATTCATGAGTATCAAAAAAAGGATAAGAAGAAACATTTGAAACATGACAATCATTATTATTGTTTGAAACAGTCTTTCCTACAATGGACTGCACTTTATTTCTATTGTGTGTGGAAGTAGATGGACAAGGTGTTGTGTGTGAGGTATGTGACAAAGCAGTAGTGTCAAATGCAAAAGGTAAAATTGATTTACTTTTGCATGAGTTTGTACAATAAAAGTAAAGGTTGTCCTTCACCTTACCAATCTCCAGTGGCCTCTTCAGTGAAGGTCCCTATAGAAGAAGACAAGAGAATTTTGTCAATACAACAATACAATCTAGTTGCACAGTTAGGGAATGAACAGAAATCAAGTTAAATTTGAAACTGGGCACATAAAGTACTTTTTTCAGAATGAATTTTGGACTAAGGATCACATCACCAATGAGTGTCACCT